ACAAATGTCAAAGTTTCTAGAACATTTGTATAATTTTGGTTTGCTGTTTTCCATTAGCACAAGGATAACAGTATAAAAAGGAATTTAATACAACTGCCTTATGGTTAGGGGAAATAAAAATTACATTTTAAGTTATATACATATTTTATACAAAGAGGTTTGATGAATGAAAAAAAAAACCTCAAGCATAAAGTACATTCAATTAGGATGAGATTTTGTTAGGTAGTGAAATGGAAATAAGTTCAAGGAAGAAGAGACATGCTCTAAAACGCTGCCTATTAAAGGAAGAACTCATTTACTCATTTTTACGTGGAGGGGGCTGGGCATGAAAATACTATGATATCCAGATTCCTTTGTTTATATTTTTAAATGGCAAAATATTTATTTATAAAATATTAATACTTATAACACAATTAAAATGTACATCTCTTGCAACCAACTAAATTCGTGATGGAAATTTTCAGATATCAGTGAAAAATGGAAGGAGATGCATGATTGTTCAAAATTATTTGGAGGGATATGCAAAAAAAAATTTCCATTTATTTATTTATTTTTAAGATGGAGTCTTGCTCTGTCGCCCAGGCTGGAGTTCAGTGGTGAGATCTTGGCTCACTGCGGCCTCCGCCTCCCATCTTCAAGCGATTCTCTGCCTCAACCTCCCGAGTAGCTGGGACTACAGGTGCCCCCCACCACACCTAATTTTTGTATTTTTAGTAGAGATGGGGTTTTGCCATGTTGGCCAGGCTGGTCTCAAACTCCTGGCCTCAGTGATCTGCCCACCTCAGCCTCCCAAAATGCTGGGATTACAGGTATGAGCCGCTGCATGCGCCCCCCCCAGCCCAAATTATTGAAATGCTTTATGTCAGTTTGTATCACTAGTTCAGAAGCACTTCACGTTATTTTTCCCTTTCTTCCAAGTGCCTAAAACATGGAGAACAAAGCACAGGTTAAGATGAAGTGCAGCATTGCTTATTGGTTGTGAGTGGCTGTGGAACCCACAGGCAGCGGTGTGAGGTGGCGAGGTAGCTTTTCTTTCTTTGAAACATTTTCTCTGGGCCATATACATTTGGTGAAACTGGCTCTTGAGAAATCTTCTTAATGAACCACAAAAAAGCAATATCATAGGACACAAGATCTTTAATTTGTATTTAACAAAACAATAAAAACGAATCCACTCCAAAATTACTTGGAAGATACTTATATTTAGTGATGGAATTATCTTTGCTGACTCTGTAAAAGAAAAACTAGTACTGAACTGAGAATAATTGTGTTCAACTTGAGGAACTACTAGCCCTAAGTTAGCATTTTCTTCTTTATGCTTGAGCTGAAGAATTTACCAAAGCTCATTCAGAGATACGTAATGGCCTCTGATTATATAATTTAGGTGGAGGACAATAGAAGGATTACTATTCCTTACTTAGACTCTGGCTATTCATTTAGAAGAGAATTAAATCATGAATTTATATTAGGCTTCTGCTAAAGACAAAGTAAGTGTGTTTTTTCACATTTGCAAAAATCCTGCAGTAATAACTTTTTAGTTCAAAAAGGTTGTTCATGCCTTAAGAGAATAGCAAAGCTGCCAGTGCATTAATTAACTCAAAAATAATGACTTACCCTCTCAGGGACGACAGAATATAGCAGAAAGGACAAAGCCAATGTTGTATTCCTTTTAAAGATTCCTAATTAGTCACTGGTCAGTTGTAAAAATGGGTGTTTACATCCTATATGTTGATTTGGCTTTTCAAAGACTGCAGTTCTACTCTAGAAGGGATTTGAGAGCCCGTCAGAACCAACTGCTTATTTTACAGAAAGGGGAAAGGGGATTGTTCAGAGTGCAATTTGGGCTCTTAATTCAGCCCTCCTCCTGCTGCCCCTGGGTTTCAGGCTGGGGTCCCTGGACCGCTGGCTCTAGGCAAGCCCCTCAGGGGCTGGAGAGAGGGTGGGAAATGGGACACACACAGGATCTGGAGGACAGGACCTGGGCCCCCAACCTCGATGCAGCCCAAGCAGCTCCACGTTTTCCTTTTATGTTCTGAGTTTCCGTTTAGCATTGATGAAGAAAAAAAAAATAAAAAAGTCTCCTGCACCATTATCTCATTCAGAAATTGTCAAAACATGTTACAGTTAATGGGGTTAATCATCGGAACCAGCCAAAGGAAGAAAAGAGATGTGGGGTGGGGGCAGGATGAGTGAGATGGGCGTGTCTGATTCCAAACAAAAGATGCCCAGGACAGAGCAGACCTTGGAAAGGAGTGATCAGAAATTGCCTAAAAACTCACGCCAACCCAGGTTGGGGCTTCACAGAAATATCTCCCCTTCTCTTCAAATCTGTGCTCTTTCTGACAGCTCACCAGGAAGCTTCTCCAGGAAGTTCCCCACGCAGCCACCATCACCCTCCTCAAAGCCTTTGCAGGTGCTCCCCCTTGGCCGCAGCCTGCCCCACCCTATACTCCAAGCAGTTGCCAGAATCACTGTGGGGAGGTCTGCCCAGTCGGGTCCTACCCCTTTGGCAGAAGGCCTTGCACCCATGTTTCCTCTCCTCCCAGCATTTAGACAGTTGTCTTTTCAATTCCTGTGCCACTCTTCTCCCTGGACGCAGGTAAACCTCCTGAGAGCAGAGCCCCCCCTACCTGCTTCTGCACCAATGGCATGAATGGTGTCACAGGGCTGTGGCCAGGCCACATGGGCCATGGGAAGATTATCCACATGGAGAGCAGGAGAGTTGGCCTGGGCAAAAGGGGAGCTCTGGTAATAGCACTCGCATTAGTCATTTTGTAAATGGTTTAACACATGTGTGCACTGAATATGTGACCTCTTACTCCATGTTGATTTAAGGCTTTGCAGGTGGCTTAATTTAGACCACAGGCTCTCAACTTTTTTTTTCTTTTGCCTCAAAACTTCTGAGGAATATATATGTATGACCAGACAAGCATTCCTGATCTTTATAACTGGCTAGAGAAGGGGTGGAGCAGGGTTAGAGTCCCTCTGCCCTGCAATGTGTTCTGTGCTTCCAGAGGGCATGTACCAGGTGCTCTGAGGGCCCCCTCCAAGGGGCCTGGCAGCAGAGGGCTAGCAGGGGCACATTTGTTCAGGCCACTTCACACCTGAGTGATAATCCCTGGAGAGGGAAGAGGGTAAGCCAGGCTAAACCAGCATTTGTGTGGCCCCTACTGTGTGCCACCACCTCACTCAGTCTTGCCTGCCACACTCTGCCTATGGGAGCACACCAAGTGTTGGTGTGACCATACAGCATTGTCATTCTTTGTGTACGTGTCTGTCCCTTCAGAAGCTGTGAGTGCCAGAGAGCCCACATGTTTGGATTGGAAATCTGTGTCCCCAGGCCCTGTCATGGGGCCCTTCACATTCAGGCACCCACTCAGCAATAGGGACCCTGTGGGCAGCAGCATTACCTTACTCCGTTAGGGTGTGAATCCAGGCCTCTGTGACCTGAGAGTTTTGTTCTTGTCATACTTTTTATATACAACATAGACAGAAAAAAACGTGCTGGTTTTATTGTTCAGTGATGGCGGCAAAAGGGAAGGCAAGAGAGGAGTGAGGGGAAACAGGGAGCTACTGTGACATTTCTTCTCAATATTTGTCTTGAATTAAGAGTCTGTCCACAAAAGCTGGGGAGAGAACTAGAAGAGCGAGGTTGCAGCAGACCAGCATCACTGCATTCAGCATATCTCCTTGTGCGTTTGCGCTGTTCTAAACTATTCCTTTTTTTTCATTCTATTCTTTACTTTGGAGCTCTTTAGTGAAATGTATATTCTTTTAAACTTTTGTTCTTTCATTTGTTTTATTGTTTGGAATCTCAAACCAACACCTAATGGGATTTTATTTTGGTTTTGTTGATGATAAGTTGTTAGTCTCCTGTCCAGTTAAAATATTGGTGATGTTGAGTGCAATTGTGATGTCACTTCATTCTCAGTGCATGATTTTGTGGAGTGAGCATTCCTAGAGGAGTCTTAATTCACTTTGGGCATCCAGTGACTACTAAGGGGAAGAATGACTTTAAAACAAAATACACTGGGACTGCAACAAAACACAGTCCTTGTTTCCTGGACTGTCATAAATAGTACTTAGATCATATATCCTGAAGTGTCTTGAAGTTTAAAATCTGTTTTTATTAAAAAACAATAACAACTCTAATATACATCGGGCTAGAGTTGTGTGTTTTTGTCCTTCAAATTTCATCTCTATGCGTAGAGCCTTCTGTGATTTTAGGGAATCTAGAAGCTCAGGAAGAGAAAAATAATGACCTCCCATTCCTTACACTTAATGTATGGCTATCTACGAATAGCTAGGTAGTTGTGCATAATGTCCATAGTGCTACCCATCATTAGTATTAGTGCTTGACAGAACCTGGCTTGGAGAGCGAATTGCCGCTCTGTGCATCTCACCAAACTGCTGCAGCAAATCACATTTAGTGCGTAGGAGCCAGGTAACCGCAACCACAGAAACTGGCCTCACATGTAAAAATTAAGGGAGAGCCAAAAGCTGGGGAGTAGGGCCATGAATCTTCTAGGCTAGATTTCAAATATGAAATACACGTGAGATGTTTTCAAACTGATATTTATGTCTGCTTATTTATATTTCCAAAAACTCTAATTGTTGTTAATGTTTTTCTAAAGATCTCACATTAAACAAATTCCATTAAACCAAAGGTCAGACTAGAAACAATTGTATTCAACATGTCATTAGTTTGAATTTTTAAATGTGCTTGCCCATAGCCATAGAGAGGAGACCAATATAAAAGGCTAATTAATCAAATACTGATTTTTAAGGGAAAATTTTGCTCTCAATCTTACACGAATGACTCCCTCTGAGTTAAAATGTTTCAGGAGTATTCAGCAGTATTTGAATGAGGGTCTTCCTTTATTTTGAGCACCCTGAATCTGAAATTTTAGAGTGGGGCCAACACACTGATGTCACACTTGTTAGGCAGCGTGGACCCCGGAATGGTTTGGGCTGACCTGTCCTTACCGTTTCTTGTCCAGTAAGCCTGCCCCTGGGGTCTGGCAGCCACTGCAGCCCGGATGGAGTCCCACAGGTGCTGTCAGAGGCGGAGGAGACCGTGTCCGTTGGCAGCTGTTTTGCGTCGGAGGACACGACCGAGGACTCAGGAGTGATGAGTTCCCCCTCAGACATCGTCTCTCTGGACTCGCAGCAGGACAGCATGAAATACAAAGACAAGTGGGCCACGGACCAGGAAGACTGCAGTGACCAGGACCTCGCTGGAACCCCAGACCTGGGTCCCCAGAAGAGCCCTTTGTGGGAGAAGAATGGCTTTGAGAACTCACATCTGAGGTGAGTCATGGGAAGGACGGGTGGGGACGGAAGTCACAGCCACATCTGTGTCTCTAAAGAGTGTCTTTTGTCATGGGATCCAACACGTGCTATCACAATCTGCGCTGCACCAGGGCCCCGACCCTGATTCACGGCAGCTGCTCTCAGGCATGTCTCTGTGCTGTCTGTACATCTGCAGTAACTTACAAAGACTGTGTAAGACTGACTTGTTTGCTTTGGCACCATACCCTTAAGTATATTTTTCTACTCAACATCGTGTTTGTAAGATTTATCCATGATGATATCTGTGTTGTTCATTCATTTATTTGCCCATTTTCCTGATAATGAGCACTTAGATTGTTCTAGTTTTTGAGGGCTAGAAACAATGAACAAGAAACATACGTCTCTATTTACATGTAGAGACTTTTCTAGAAGAGGAAACTGACAGGAAAGAGACTCATCTTCAGCTTTATGGGATACCTGAAATGTTCATGCAGTTGGCAGGCCCCCCAGTGTCTGCAAGGTCCCCTTGTTGCACACCGATGCCAGTATTTAAGATCAGTAGACATGTTGAGCTTTGCCAGCGTGTAGGCATAGATGGCTTCTCATGTAGCTTTCATTTACAGTTCTCTGATTAGGAAGGATGAGCATCTTGTGATTTGTTCATTAACAATTTGGGTCTTGTATTGTATTAATTGCCTTTTCATAGCCTTTGCCCTTTTAAAAAACATGCTACATTTGGCCTGGCATGGTGGCTCATGCCCATAACCCCAGCATTTTGAGAGGCTGAAACAGGAGGATTGCTTGAGTCCAGGAGTTCAAGACCAGCATGGTCAATATAGTGAGACCTTTTCTCTACAAAAAAAATTTAAAAATTAGCTGAGCGTGGTAGCACGTGCCTGTAGTCCCAGCTACTCTGGAGGCTGAGATGGGAGGATCACTTGAGCCCAGGAGGTGAAGGTTGCAGTGAGTTGAGATTGTACCACTGCACTCCAGCCTGGGCAGTAGAGCAAGATTCTGTCTCAAAAAAAATTGAATTAAATTAAAAATTGTTGTGTTTACTTTTTTTGATTATTAAATTCTCCTTTGTCAGTTATTCGCACATGGAACATTTCTAAGTCTGTGGCTCGAACTTACCTGTGTTTTCTTTTCTTGTACAATGATTGTCTTCACATTTTAGTATTCATTTTTCCTTTTTCTCTCAGATGTATATAATCTTTGCCTATTTAAGAGATCCTTCCTGTACCCTAAAAGACTAAAGATAGCCTGAATTTCTTGTAAAACTGCATTCTCACATTTGGGCTCTCCTATACATGGGGTTTATTTTTGGGTGTGATGTGAAGAAGGATCTGTTTTTTCCCACTGATTCCTATCCCCGCTGTGGTCAGACATCAAGTGTCCATGTGCACGTTGTTCTGTTCCAGCGCTCTTTCCGTAGCACTGGTGTATTTGTCCATCTCTGTACCAGTATCACACTGTCAGGATTCCTTTCTTTATTCTTATATAGAAAGGCATGTTGATTCTCTTCAGCCCAGCAATGTTTTTCATCTTTTAGATAACTTCAAGAACGCATCAAATAAATACTATGGAAATGTTAACAGAAAGAAGGTAAAATGGGCTGGATGCGGTGGCTCAAGCCTATAATCCTAGCACTTTGGGAGGCTCAGGTGGGTGGATCACCTGAGGTCAGGAGTTCAAGACCCACCTGGCCAACATGGTGAAACCCCATCTCTACTAAAAATACAAAAATTGGCTGAGTGTGGTGGCGCTTGCCTGTAGTCCCAGCTACTCGGGAGGCTGAGGCAAGAGAATTGCTTGAACTCTGGAGGCAGAGGTTGCGGTGAGCCGAGATCGCGCCGTTGCACTCCTGTCTGGGTGACAGAGTGAGACTCCGTCCCAGAAAAAGAAAAAAAAAAGGAAATAAGGTAAAATGATTTAAAGAAATAGTTCATAAGCCAGTCACCAAAATGAATAAATGCTTTTATAATATGTTTTTCGGGTTTTGTTCCAACCCTATTCATATGAACACACAAATCTGTATCTGGTTAGTGTAATTGTCTTATCAGTAATACTTTATATATCTTTGTACCTAACAGTTTGTCATGACCAGTTCCCCATGTTGTTATACACACTCCCTAATAACGTTGAAGTATAGCTCTTCAATTCTAAGGGTGACTCCAAGACCAAGTTTATATTTCATCAGAAAGGAAATTTGAAGGCAGCAATTGGTTCCTTCCTGCCTACCCCACACAAGATGCATTTTGCTGAGGTTGGCCTGTGTTGTTTACATCTGTGAGAACAGAGGAAAATTATGGCATTTTCCTTTTAGTCATTCAACATAAAGAAAAATCACTTTCTACTGTAATCTCTACGTCTTTTCTGCAGTTTGCATGGGGATTGCACAGGTTTGCATTCCACATCTGAAACTAATCAGACATGCGTTACTGTGCACCCTGAGGGATGCTGCGCATAGGACTCATTGTTTGCTTTGCTGGTGCTGACCGTTGATATAAAATCTTGCTGATTTCTATCCAAATAATGAGGGTTCATATTGACTATGGCCACAGCCAGGATAATCATTGAGTCTTTGGAACCTGATGCTTTATGCAAACAGGGAACACGGCATGTTTTCCTGCCCTCATCTCTGGGGTGCCACTGAATTTGAGAGTACTGTGGTGGGGAGGGAGGGAGTTTGGGAATCTGATAGACCTACAGTGGAATCTCACCACCACTAACTAGCTGTTTGGCCTTTAAGAGTCCACTTAATTTTGCCAAGCATTACCTTTTGATCATACACAGTGCGGATATGCCACCTATCTATCAGAGTTGTCATGAGCCTGTGAAAAGCCCAGCACAGATGATACCATGCACGTTGCATATATAATAAGTAGTACCCATTGTCAGAACTATTGCCCTTAGTTTAGGAAACGGGGGCACCATTGAATTGCCCTGGACAATCACTTTCCTTCACCGGGTTGTGGTCAGCTCATCAGTCAGATGAGGATGAAGATGCTGTCTGAGCCCCTTAGCCCTGGCTGTGATGCTGGGTTATTTGCCCAAGAGTTGGGATTGACTCTGCCCTTGCATGGAATGACTCTAGTCTTTTTGTTTTTGGTTTTTGGAGGGTAGGGGGGATTTCATAGAATGAATCTAGTTTTTTGGGCACCATTTTGAGGTTTTTTGGGTTTTTTTACAGGAATTGTCTCAACTGACAAATTAGACATATTCAGAGATTTCAGCATGGTATATCACATTTTTTCCCAAATACATGATTTTCAATAAATTTCAGGATTACTTCAAAGCGGTGCCTCCCATGCAATGCAAGGGTTGCAAATATGGATGCCTTAGAGGCAAGGCAGTGGTTAGGCAAGGTTGAGGGAGGCTCAGCAGATGAGAGACCACAGGCAGTGTGGAAAACACATGCTTTCTCTAAAGAGAGCATCCCTGCTCCCTCTGTCCAACTGTCACTCTGTGGGTTACAGACCCAGTGTGGCCAGTTTTTGAAGAGAAGCCAGAAATCTGGATTTTTATGTAACGTCTCCCAAATTGTAAATGTTGGCAACCAATTCAAGCACTCAGGGTGAAATGGAACACATATGCAAGTTGGATGTGGCCTGTTCCCAGACTTACACCCTTCTAAAGACTGAAGGCTGCATCGATTGTTCCACTTCTTTTTGGGACAAACAAGATTACTTTCCTTGCCTATTCGCCAACTTTGGAATATAGTTGCAGCTACTCAGGTATTTCTTGTGCTTGAAAAATATCGATTCACACATAAAGTTGGGAATGAAGAGAGAATCTGCCTCTTTTGATGAAAATAGTGTGTTCCAGGGACAGGCTCGGCATTCACATCTGGAGTGAACCCCGTCGAAAGCCAAGGCAGCACAGGGGTGGCAAAGGCAGGGCTGGCGGGGACTGCCCTGGCAGCAGAACTCAGGTGTGGCCCGATGGAGCAGACCGGTCGGGTGGTCACGATCCCTACAGTGAGGACCCATGCCTCGGGGCTGACAGCCCAGACTCAAGGTGAGCTCGTGAGAGCACAGAAACCACCACTGTTCACAGGGGTGTGGCCCTCACCTCGGCCACCTGCACAGAAGAACCCTATCAGAATACTAAACAGCAGCATCCATGTTCAGACTCTGGCGGTCAAGAGAAACAATAGCAAAGAGGAGGTTTTCTGACAGGCAGTGTGAGCAAAAGCCTGGCAGAGCATCCTTAGTTGGCACCTCAAGCTCCTCTTTCATTGTGCCCCGAAACACATACCCAACCTTGATCAAGAGGAGGCTGCCCAGAGAAGGCATGACCACCATTCCCGGTGCCCTGTGCCTGATCCCTGAGCCCAGCCTCCTGGCCCTACCCTGGATGACTCCCATACCTGGTTTCTGCAACTCATCCTGAGCTGCCCATTTGTGCTCCCAGAACCCGTGTTCATCTTACATGGCAAACGATGAAGATGTCGGACATGGCTGTGACATGAGCCCTCTCCATCCCCTCTGAATGCCAGGCCTTAGGGGCTCAGGCAAAGCCGAAGTCACCTTCTGTCTGGCTGGCAAGGCCAGGCCTCTAGGCTGGGAGTGGAGTTGGATAGGTTGTGAAGCTGTCCCTGATAGCCCCAGACATCTTCAGCTTGCAGAAAGTCTCTGCTGTAGTCCCAGTCATCAGGAAAACAAGGATTGCTCATGGTTTATCAACTTGGCCAAAGTGGTGTCTTCTGTTGCCACCCCTCTGTTATTTGGGTATTCACTAAACACTGGGAACAGCCTTAAGACCCTTCATCACCTGGGAAGACCCAAGTGTGTAAGGTCTACATCGCTATGTTCTAGTTTTCTTAGCTATTTCTCCTTTCTCTGCACCCTACGAAGGTCAAAATCATCTAGACTCCTTTGGCTAGGGATGCGTGGGTTCACACATTGACAAGCTGGAGGCAAACACCATTTGCTCAAGAGCTCTGCCACCTGTCCAAGGAGAGAGCCATATTGGGCTGGCCACAGCTAAAAACTGTCCTGGTTCAGTGGCATCTT